GAAGAATATCATGTTAGATCCATAATTTTGAATTTTTTTTCATTAAATTTTATTATATCATTTATCTCCTGTTGGTTTTTAGTAGTTATGTGATGTAGTGCTTGGTTGTTAACTAATTAGCCATGGATATAAATTTTACTAGGAAAAATTTGATTCACTACTAATTAAAGAATTTAGAATATGATTTGCTTTAACTGTTAAAACTTATTCTTGTTTTCTGTTTCCCCCATAAGGTAAGAAAAATGGATCTTCCGGAACATGTAGCTATTTTAGTGGAGTACTTTGTCATGCTTGTTGCGATTTGTATTCATAAAAGGAGAAAGCTTCTGCTTAATAAGGAATTACGACTAGAGAGAGAAAGTTTGAGATAAGTTGATAAAAAGCTTAGTCTCAAGTGTGTTTTGTCAGCATATCATCAGGATGAGAGCTCCAACCTTTATGAATTTATATCGTTTGCTAGTTATACATGGTGGACTTAGGCACACTGTTGTGCAACTGTTGAGGAATAAATTGCCAAGACCCTTTATTTATTAGGACACAATGAGAGAAATCCAGTCTTATCTTGGTATTTTTTACGATATGGAGAGATGATAAGTCACCATTTCCATACTGTGCTACGATGTATACTATAAATGGCAGATAAATTTCTTATTCAGTTAAATGGATCACAAGTGCATTCGGAAATAACCAACAATTCTAAATTCTTTTCATATTTTAAGATAAATATATAAGTTATTTTATTTATAATTTTTCACAACTTACAAGTTTAATTAAGTTTTTTTAAATCAGTATAAGTTTAACTAATTAGAGAATAATTAATTTCAGGATTATGTTGGTGCAATTGATGGAACACAAATACGTGTGAAAGTGTCTAAAAGTGATGCCCCAAGGTTCCGTGGGAGAAAAGATTACCCCACACAAAATGTATTGGCAGCTTGTACATTATATTTGAAATTTATATACGTCTTAGTCGGGTGGGAGGGGACCACATCAGATTCAAGAATATTAAAACATGCATTAAACAGACTTAAGGATCCTTTAATTATTCCCGAAGGTAATTAAAATATATTGAATTTGAATGTGTAATGTATAAGTTTGAAGAAAAAGTTATAACTCAAATTATTCATTATTTATAGGTAAGTTCTACCTTCGGGATGCTAGTTTTATGTTGCGGGGTGGAATAATTACTCCATATAAGAGAGAAGGTACCATTTGAGTGAATACTCAAGGAATCCACCACGCAATGCTTGTGAGCTATTTAATCTTCATCATGTTTTTTTACGTAATGCGTTGAATGTGCTTTTGGAGTTCTTAAGAAATGTTTTCTAATTATTTCAAGCTCTATTGAACCTCATTATCATCTCAGACCTCTTAATCACATTACTTCAGCACGTTTATCATGATGAAAGAAATCAATATAACATTAGGGATAGTATTGAGGAAACAAGGAGGTGGGAAGCTATTAGAGATTATATAGCAGCTGATATGTAGGTTGTTTACAATACTTGATTACATTTTGAACTAATTATGTTGTTTATGACATTTGTATGGTTTATGACTTATGAGATATTTTAAAGTTTTAATTGAACAATATAATTTAGAATTTATATGGTATATGATTATATCTATTGGTGTTATGCTGTGTGTTTTAGAAACTAGCAAGGAGGAACAGATTTGCACGTGGAGGGAGCAACACTGTCCATTGGACAGATGCCATAGATGATGTATTAGTAGATGCCTTTTACAATCAACATGTGTTGGGCCATAGATCTAGTGGGACATTCACCACACAAGCTATTGATCGCATTGTGAATTAATTGAGGAATGCATATCCAAACATGCCTATTGATAAAGAGCGAATTCACAATCGTTTCAAAAATTTGAAAAGACAATTCTCCAAATAGTATGACGTCTTTAAACATGGATCGAGTGATTTTGCCTGAAATTTGGCAACTAAAATATTTGAAGTGGAAGAGAAGCTGTGGCAGTAACTAATAGAGGTAAATCACCTAGTTTATCACACGTTGTTTGCATTATTTTATACGGTTTGAATATTAATATATTATTTCATCTTAGACTCAAACCGAAACAGCTGAACTAAAGAACAAATGTGCGTGGAATTATGACAAAATATTGGAAATGTTTGGAAGGGACATAGCCAATGGGACTAGTTGTGAGACAACATTTTCCACTTAAGGACAAAGGAAAAGGAGTGACAATGAACATGCAATGAGTGCTGAGAAGGTTGTTCGTCAACTTACCCAAAATTTAGGTTGCAATTTCAATTTTGAGAGCATGGATCTGGTGAATGATGCTCCAATGCCCAAAAGTCCTACTTCGCAATCCCAATAAGAATCACAATCTTCATACAGACATAAGAAATCAAGACATTTGCCTACTACCCCAGAGGAAGATCATTTGGCTCAGTAAGTTAGACTGGTTGCAAAAGCAATCGAGAAAATTGCAACAAACTTACAAGTTTGTGTTCTATGAAACCAACTGTATGAAGAGATTGCTCGTTTCGGTCTTGATCCAAAATGTAGAAACAAAAGCTTATTTGCTTCTTATGAGGGATCCAACCTTGTTTGCTGCTTTTGTGGGATGTCATCCTGAACGACGTAATTTTTTGTCAAGTAGGTTATTTCAACATCAGGTAATAATTTATATTAAATCTCATTTTCAAATATTAAAACTTGTTGATTTGTACTATTTGATTTTTTAATTTTTTTTCATTTTCAGATAATTGAATACGAGGACTATTGTTGCCGAAATATAAAACTCTAGTATGGACTTAGAAAATTTGTGAAAAATGTGTTGGATGCTTAATTTATAATTAGAAAAGTGGATGTTTAATATGAAATTATATTATTATTTTTTATCGTTTAATTTATGTTGGATTTGTAATTTGAGTGATTTAATGAATTTTATATATTTAAAGTTTTTATATTTATGTGACTATGCATTTTCTTCTTTTTTTTTTTAAATTGATTGTATACGTATTAATAAGATGATGATTGAAATAGATAAGTTGATTGAATATACGGAATTATTTAATTATTTAAAAATTAGTGAACTTAAAATTGTTCTCTATAAAATTTATTTATGTTATAAAAATGATAATAATAATTATAATGTAATAAATAATTTGTAATTTTTTTTTTCAATTTATAATCATAAATAAAAAATTCTAGTTTTAAATTAATTTTTTATATTAAGTATAAAAAATTAAATTTTTATTCTTCATAATAAATTTATTTTTTGATAATTTAACAAACAAATAATTGAAAATTAAAGTTTAAATAATTTTATAAATTAAATTAATTATAAGTCAAATAAATTTTTATTAAATTTTTTCCAAGTAAAATGACATAATTAGAAATTAAATAAATTTTTGTTAAAAATTAAATTTTTACTTTCATAAACAAATTTATTTTTTGATCTTTCAAGAAAAAAGTATTAAAAATTACAGTTTAAATAATTTTATAAATTAAATGACTTAATTACAAATTTAATGAGTTATTTGAATGTAATTATTTAAAAATTAATAAAATTTAAAATTATTTTTAATAAAATTTATTTATTTACATCATAAAAATAATAATAATAAATATTATACAATAAATAATTTAATTACCCATTAAAAAAAACATCCAAACACAGCATAAATTTTTATGATTATTATTTAATGATTTTTTTGATTTATTCAACTATAGAAAAATAATTTCAACACTCTTAACCAATATTTGGTCGGAAGCTTTGAAACACAGATTGAATAGCTGAAGTATAAAGAAGGATGTGAAAAAAAGTAATTATTTGTTGAGCACCGGAGTTCATAATTCACTTTTAATTATGATTTTAATTTAATTTCTTTGTACTAGGGTAATATTTTCTCTTTGGAAATTGCAATTGATATGAAATTGAAATGGAATTTCCTTTACAAAGATTAAATTGTCTTTTCATTATATAATATTTTATTTGTTAGATTAGGAACTTACTACATGTTGATTGAAAGAAATTCTGACGGTTTCTAATCACAGAAGGATAAAAGCTAACCAATACAAATAAATATTTGTTTTGAAATTGAAAAATCTGGGGACTTGATTTATGCAGATTGCACGAGTAAAATGCCAGAATCAGAGTCTTCCTTCATTATTGGCAGAACGTACAGCGCTGTCAGAGACTCTAATTTATTGCCATTTTCTTCTATTTTTTTAAATAAATAAAAACCAACACAAACAAAAAAAAAATTTAATGAGGCCTCAGACTATAAATGTTTAAAGTGCTTCAGAGAATTGATCTCAGATGGTACGGACAAATTCTTATGCATCATTGGCCAACAACTTCAGTTACACATAAAAAAAAAAAAAAAAAAAAAAAAAAAAAAAAGCCCTATCCCATCATAGAAATGATCGTGTTCCAATCAAAGATCAATTTACTCATTTCCGATCCTGGTGCACTTGGACAAAGGACACAAGAAACAACTAAGAATAAAGATAATTATGATTCAAAAAATGTTATGCATATAGTAGTGTACACTTATACCATTCCTACTAAGAAGTCAACAGTATGACATCTTATTCATTCATCTATTCATGTAAAACTCAGGCAGATGTGGGAATTGATAAGGTATATTATACACTAAAAATAGAAGCTATATGCAAAGGAGATTAAATCCAAGGGATTTTGCATATATAAATGAAAGAAAAGGAGAAGAAATCAAACCGAACAAGCAAAACATTTTGCTTTACCTGATAAATCAGCAACATCAAATTATGATTCAAAAAACGAACAAGAAAACAGCAGTCATTATTAACATTCTTCGCACATTAGTTGAGCACGACACGACTCAGAGAAAAAAAGGCAGAATAGAAACCGAACCCAAATGGAAAAAAAATTCAGCATTATTGTTTTGATTTATCGCCCCTACCATCCTTCATTTGCAAATTGATTCTGTCATAAAATTCAAAAACTTCAATACCCGTATTAATGAGAAAAGGGTATGGTTGGAATCAATGGCAGAAAATGATAATTGCTTTGAAGCGAATTCACAAAAAGAAACAAGTGAATGATCAGATAGAGCTAATACAAAGGTCAATGCCATCATTCCGGCAATCAAACCAATAGGGAAACATATTCCATCATCATATCATTCTAAAACGCTCATATGAATTTCTTTTCTATAAGAAGCTCGGTAAGCAAGTAAGGTCGACGGAGATACACAACCACTTGGCCAGTTAGCTTCTCCATCCATACATTTGGCTACAGACCTTTAGGCCATTTCAAGTTATAAGGGCACCAGATTCTGAATCCCTTCACTCGGTACATGTAGCCACCTTGTCCATTCAATCAGTAAAATTTTAATTGTGCAAGATAATTTCTAATCACATAAAACAAATATAAACCAATAAGAAAAACTACTAATTGTTCAAAAATTATGAACTGTGAGGACATCTGAATGCAGATTGCTTAGGAAACCAGAAACAAATGCCAGAATCTCAGTCCCCTTGACTATCGGCAACGTACAGCGCTGAAAACGCTACTGAACACAGCGCATCAGAGACTCTAATTTATTGCCATTCTCCTCTATTTTTCCAAAATAGTTAAAAATTTAAATAAAATAAAAATGAAAAAGGCTCAGAGAGTAATGATTTTCTGTAACATCAACGAGCTCATTAGCCCTCATAGTTTGATGGTATGCAGTTTTCATCGTCACCGCCTTCAACACCACAAGAAACAACAAAAATAAGAACTAATCAAAATTAACAAGAGAGACCTCAGACAAGATGTTTCAGCTGCTTCAGAGAAGTAATCTCAGATGGAACGGACAAATTCTGAAGCATCACCGACCAACATCTTTAAATAAACATAATCAAGCAACACATTCTCCCCTACCTGCTTAGACCCAAGCCATATACAAGTAAACAAAAGACATTATTTTTCAGAAGAGTGAAAATTGAAATAGAAAAGGAAATCAGTAAGATTGTTTGCACATTAGCGGAGCATACATCAGAGAAAGAAAGAGAGCAGAAAATCGCAGATCATAACAAGTACACGTCAAATAAAGTCACACATGCAACTTAAGGAGAAAATTGTGCAGGCGGCTAATGATGATGAAGGAAACTAGGGATCGGGTTTATACATAGGAGGTGAAATAGTCGCTGAAGAAAATGGGAGCCCGATATGAACCTTTAATAGGTTGGCTGAGGGGAGAAGAATTAGGTTTAGGGTTTTTTGTGTTACCGGGTCGGTTCGGGTCGGGCTTCGTAATGGCCGAGCCGGGGGGTCTAATGGGCTTGGATAACGTGTTAAAAGAGCGAACACGTTAACTTCTTTTTTGGAGTCAATGATGTGATTAATATTATAAAACAACTAAATAATAATAAAAAAAAAAATGAAAAAAAACTTGTAGTAATAATTTCCACAATTACTTACACAACTTGTTGGCTTGAAATTAAAAGGGAATTATGATTAGCAAGTTCAACCCCAGCAATATTATTTTAAACCTAACGCAAAAAGTATAAAATATAATTTATAATAGTAGACCAAAAATTGTTGACCAAGAGGGAAGGTCATTTTCCCAGAGACCTTCGGATTTGTAGAAACTAAAATTAGATTTAGATTTAGATATGGGGCCAGATTTTTATCAACTTATTATAGTTAGTTAAGTTACCATCACAATGGAGCAAATATTATGCGAAACCATTTATTTCGAAAAATAACTACGTGATCCGGATCATACTGTATGCAAGATTAATTATATATTAAAATATATAATAACATAAATAAAAAATTATATGAATTAATAGCAACGTAAAAGACACTTATCATGCATAATAATAATAAGAGTGAGGAACTAAAAATACGTGAAAGAGAAAATAAATAAAAAGAAAGCAAGATAAAAATAGAAAATTTCTCACTATTCCTACGGGTTGATCAATTGCAAGATCTCAACACGAGGATGGAGATGAAATGGTGTGATGGAGTAAAGATTATTAGATCGTGATGTTCTACTACGGAAAAATATGGAACCTCATGATTTTTAGAAGATTTTTCAAGCAGGATTTTTTTAGAAGATCTTCACGGCTTTCCTTGCCTAATAAAAAAAAGATATATATATATATACATACATATATATATACACACACACACACACACAAGTTTGTGCTCGTAGCCAAAAAAAAAAAATTAGTGGCCTTGTATTTTTCTCTCTTCCTCATCGCAACCGCATTCACCCAAGAGTGGTCATCGTTTTTTTATTTTGAGTTCTTCTCTCTCCTCACGTGCAAAAAAAAATTTTTTTTTTTTTTTTTTTTTTTTTAATGTCTTAATTTTTCTTTCGATGGATTACATTATATTTGTTTCCTTTTAATATTGGATTTTTCTTGGAGTTTGGTTCGTGGTTTTTCTCTCAACATTAGAGGGTTTCTATGTAAAATCTTATATCTCTTTTATTTTATATTTATTTTTTTATTTATTATTTTATATTATGCATAAATTGGTTTTATATCATTATTATTGGTTCATGTGAATTAATTTGAAGACTACTTTAATTTACACAATTGACTATATTTCGTATTCGAGACACAATAGTATAAGAGCCTAATTGATATGTGATTCAGAATTAATTGTGTAAATTAAGATAAAAGAATTCCCATATATAATTATTAAGTTTATGATTTTAAATTATTCAATTTGAAAGTTGAAGATGGAGGATGTTTTTTATTTCATTTTAATAATTAATTTATTTTGTAATAATATGTTTTAATTTAATTTAATTTAATTTAATAGAAATAAAAAAAATAATAATGATAAAATAGGGTAAAATTATTTTTGAGATTTAATTGAAATTGATTTTGAAAAAAAAAGGTAAAAATTTGGATTATAGGGGTATTTTTGAAAAAATAAAATAAAAAACTGATGGTCAAAATGTAATATAAAAAAATTACGCCACGTCAGCATCCATGTCAGCAGCCCGGTCAGCAGCCTCGGCCAACCAGGACACGCCGCGTGGCAAGGATGCTGACGCATGAAGTCACGCGGGACGGAGACACGTGGGCAATCTACGTGCACAATTGGACGACCCAGATTCGTTCCCGCGCGCACGGACGACCCAAATCAAAAGCGCGCATGGACGGCCCAAATTTCACGCGTGCGGATGACCCAAATTTGATCACGCACGGACGGTCCAGATCGCATCGCGATGGATAGTCCAGATTTATTTCTAATTTAATCGCGATCGGACGGCCTAGATCGCATCGTGATGGACGGCTTAGATTAAAAGGAAAAAGTTATAAATAATCGCATCCACACCCAACCCCACTGTGACCACCGTCCTTTTCTCTACAGGTTGACCGGAGCAAAACACCAAATCGCGACTCGTGTCAGAGGAGCCGCCACACCCGAGAGCTTGGCCGCCAGTAAGTCTCGGTTTTCTATAATTTTTTGGCCCACCGAGGGCCCTAGGGGTGTTTTATCACAAGAACCAATGCAAGTTTGGCCGAATTCGGCCGAAAACGGCTGAAATTCTGAAATTGGCCAAAAAGGCCCTAGGTCTGATTTGGGGTTTTTTGGTGACATGTGTAGGTACCGAAAGTGTGTTTCAGTTTTCGAAAAAAAATATATAGGGAATCTAGAGACTGCCCGTAGGCGCAGTGAGAACCCGATTTCAGACTTCGAAACAAATAAAGATCTCTCACCATATTTCCTATCACGGCATTAAAGCTTAATAAATGATAAAACGGTATTTTATGAATTAATAGATATGTATAATTAATTAAGATTGCTAATGGGGCCCGAACCTGATGTATTTGTCGGTCTGTTTTTGTTTGATTTATTTTACAGTTTTAAATGCATTATGATATCTAATCTATTTATTTTATGATTTTGAATGCATAAATCACGGTTTCATTTATTATGGTTTGAATTATTGTGAACCCGATGTTGTGTTGCCTTATTTGGTGTCCATTACTAGTTTACGTGTTTATGTTTGATTGGATAATTGAGATTAAGAAAAATGAAAAAAAGGTATGTGAATTGATAAATGGATAATGTCGACAGCCTAACTAGATATCCTGGGAGATAGTGGACGGATCGGGTCCATAGGGAACCCTACCAGAAACGTGGTCTCTCATATCGGACAGGATATGGAGACTTTATGTGTTTTGGCGCCCATACCGGACGGGGTATGGGGACGGTCCGTTTCACCTTCATACCGAATTGGGTATTGAGGTTTATGGTTTTGGTGCCCATACCGGATGGGGTATGGGGATGGCCCTGGAATTAAGTTATTAATGTGAATGGTTCACGTATAGCGGGGACCTCCTATGGATCCCCATGGATACTAGTAGGCTGATAAAAGAGGAAATTTGTTGCCTGATGATTGAAATACAAAAGTATGATATGTGTTATGTTACAGAGTGTGCATGATCTTATGATATTTATGATGTTATTATTTCTCATAAGTTGTTTTCATGAATCTTACCGAGGTAAATGGACAGTAAATGTTTTTATTATTAATAAATGAGATTGTTATAAATTATGCTCTATTGGTCGTTTTTGTTTTCTACCAATCTTTACTTCTGTGACAGTGAGATAATGTGATGTCTTTACTGGACTAATGTAGTTCATTCCTTACTTAACCATTTCAGATCAAGAAGACTTGGTTTCTGAGCCTGTCCCGCAGGAAGACGACGAGTAGATGTCTAAAGATTTCATAGTTTTATTTATAACATTCATCTCTAGTATTTACTTTATTTAGTTTATTCTTTCATATATTTAGTACGTTTGGATTATTGTGTAAGGGATGTTAATCAAAATTTTTATTCCGCTTCCGCCCTTAGAATTTTTCTTATATATATACATTTCCCTTTAAAATTTTGGAGCCGTTACAGTTGGTATTAGATCCGCGCTCCTCGGACCCGTCCTTTACACATTAATACTTAGAGGAATACCAAACTGAGAATTATTACTTAACCCTTCTTTGTGAAATGCAGGTGCAGAGAGATGAGGAGAGGGAGATCCCAACTAAACCGAGCAGCCCGGGATGATTCACTTCGAAAAAATGTTGACAGAATATTTGAGATGCTCGAAAGGATCATTGCTGTTCAGCAAGGTCAAGAGGAGAGAAGGGAATTACCCGAACCTCCCCCACTACCACAGGTTGAGCCACCGCTGCAGCAAGTGGATCCCGAGCCACCCCGACAAGAGCCTGCTCCTCCACAGTACCACCTGGCACCACTGCCGCAGTATAATCCGGTGCCTCAGCCACAGTATTGCCCGACACCGCCACAGTATAATCCGGTGCCCCCACTATATCAGCAGGTGCCACCACAGGGCCCCCCAGTCTTTCCTCAGCCCGACCCAGTCCCTTTTCCATGGGACCCAACTCCTTCCCTGATTGACTCGGGCTACGTAGAGAGGTACAGGAGACTAAACGCTTCCACTTTTGTAGAGGAGTCCTCTTTCGAAGATGTCCAGTACTGGTTGGCGAAGACAGAGAAGGCTTTCAATACCTTAGGAGTAGTTTCTGAGTAGAGGGTTACTCTTGCTTCCTACATGCTTTTGGGGGAAGCAGATCGTTGGTGGGAGCTCAAGCAGACCACCCTACCTACGCCAGTCACTTGGGAGTAGTTCTTAGTAGCCTTTCATGCGGAGTACCTCCCCGAGCACATCCGACATTTAAAGGAGACGGAGTTTGTTCAGCTGGTTCAGGGAAACATGACGGTATCAGAATATGCTCGTAAGTTCCTAGAGCTGCACCGATACTCCTCTAAGATATTGATGAATGAGGGCAGAAAGGCCAGGAGGTTCCAGTGGGGCCTCTGTCCAGAGATCAAGCAGCACTTATTGGTATTAGAGCTCAAGACATATTCAGCCGTTCTAGCAAAGGCGCAGATCGTGGAGAGGAGTTTCAACACCCTTTCTCAGTCAACAGGGAGTCACAGACCCTCAGCTCCACCCCGCAGACCAGCACCTACTGCGACTGTCCAGCAAAATAAGAGGCCTAGACCGGTGATCCAAGTTCCCCCTTAGGCTCCAGGGGCAGCACGTGGTAAGATCTGTCAGCACTGCGGCAGGGATCACGGGGACCGACTATGCTATCGCCTCAACAACACCTGTCGCATATGTGGTAGTGCCCAGCACTATGCGAGAG